GTAGCTGGGATTACAGGCATGTGCCACAGGTGCCCAGGTGCTCATTTATATTTAAAAAATCAACTTAATTGGAGTATAATTTACATCCAAGAACTCACACACATTTTAAGTATAAAGTTCAATAAGTTTTGACAAGTGGATCTATTTGGATTGCCATTGCTATAGTTTAGAAGTGTCCTCCCAAAGTTCATGTGTTAATAGCTTGGTTGCCAGCTTCTGGCACTATTGGGAGGTGGTGGAACCTTGAGGAGATGGAGTCTAGTTAGAGGAAGTTGGATCATTAAGGTTATGCACTTGCAGGAGATTGAGACCATAGCCCCTTCATGTTTTGCTCTTTGCTTCCAAGCTTCCATGAGGAAAATTGGCTTCCTCTGCCACACACTCCCACCTTGATATACTGCCTTGTCACAGGACCAAAGCAACACGGCCTAGCCACCATAGACTGAAATCTCTGAAACTGAGCCAAAATGAACATCTCCTCCTTTCAGTTAATTGTCTCAGGTATTTTCTCACAGTGATAGAAGCTGACTAATACAGTTACAACCCTATTGGAGACAAAGCATTTCCATGATCCTAAAAAGTTCCCACATGCCCTGCCCCAGGCAATCCATTATCTGATTTCTATTAAACTAGGTTAATTTTCTCTGTTGAAAAACTTTCTGCAAATGGAATCAGATGGTACATATTCTTTGTTCCTGGCTTTTTTTTTCTGATGGTACTGGAATTTGAACTCAGGTCCTCATGTTTGTTATCTAGGTGCTCTACCACTTGAGCCACTCTGCCAGCCCCATTTTGTGTTGGGTTTTCTTGAGATAGGGTCTTGCAAACTATTTGCCGGGGATGACTTTGAACTGTGATCTTCCTGATCTCTGCCCATTGAGAAGCTAGGTTTACAGGCATGAGCCTATGGCACCTGGCTGTTTCTGGCTTCTTTTGTTTAGCTTGTGATTAATTTCATTCATGGTGACTCATATATTGAAGCTTGCTTTCTTACTGAGGCTATGACACAATGTGTTTACCCATTCATCTGTTCATGCATTGTTTCCAGTTTGGGACTATTATGAAAAAAAAAAACTAGTATGAACAGTTGGTAGAGGTCTTTGTGTGGACACATTTCTTTTATCATGGGTAAATACCTATAAATGAAATTTCTGGGTCATGTGATGTCTGTTTATTCATTTTGTGTGTGTGTGTGTGCATGCTAAGCATGTGCTTTATCATGGAGCTTCATGTACAGTCTGATGTCTGTGCATGATTCTTTATCTTTGTAAGAAACTGCTAAACTATAGGGATGTGTCATTTACTGTCCCTCCAGCAATATAAGAGAGTTTCAGATTTATTGTTGGTTTTCTTTATTCCTATCAGTAACGACTTCTGGATAGTTATTAATTATCTCTCTATTATAGTCATTATTTATTTTGTTGTTTAAATTGTCTCAGATTTGACTGCTGAGAACTCATTTAATTTGGCTACTTTGAATTTTTAAAAAATTGTCCCCATAATTTTTTGAGCACTTCCTTACTTTATGGCACCATACAATATTACAGCCTTGTCTTGTCTCTCTCTCTCTCTCCTTTTTATTGAGATGATCTCACCATGTAGGCCAGGGTGGTCTCAAACTCATAATTCTCCTGCCTCTGCTTCTGCCTCTCAAGTGCTACTACACCTGGCCCTCTCTTTTTTATTTCTGAGCTCATCCATCTCTCCAAAGACTTCTGGTGCTTTTTATTGGAGAGTGGTATTTAGAAACTAAGCTGATTGCTACTGTGGTATCACTGTTCCTAGGCTCTGTGAGCTAGCACGTGTATAATATCATATATACTCATATATATATTTCTGTAGTTATCTATTTGCATATCTTAAATACTATGAGTTCATAATGGTGCCTTTAAACCCCATTCAACACCGCAGGCTTCATTTTAGCCTCATCACTTTTCCATATTTCTTTTCTCCAGCATTGAGAAACTTGGTTCTCGTTATTCTCAGTATATTTAATTATTCAATTAGATACACATAAGGTAATTTCAAGCCATACTTCTGCGAAAAAACAAATTCTTAGAGTGCAATGTTTGTGAACAGTCCCTTTTGTTTTTATAGTATCCAGTCAAAATACTGTTTTACAAAGTTACTTATGTTATTTCTTTTTTCCTTATTCAGTGTGTTTATGTTGTTCACATATAATGTAGTTAGATTATTTCCTTCCTTTCTTCTTTATTTTTTGATAGGATATCATATGTAGCTCAGGTTGGCCTCAAACTCATGATCTTCCTGCCTTAGCCTCCTGGGATTACAAGCATGCACCACCATGCCTGGCTTAGACTTTTTCTTCACTTCATTTTCAGATGGTTTGTTACAAGTGTGTAGAAGTACAACTGATTATTGAATATTGACCCTATGTCCTGTAACCTGTCAATCTCATTTGTTAGTTGTAATAGCTTTCTTTAGGTAATTCCTTAAGATTATCTATATGCAAGATATACAAGATCATGTCATCTACAAATAGACATGATTTTGCTTCTTTTCAATTTGATTTCCCTTGCTTTCTTAGGTATTTGCTCTTTCTACAACTTTTTCTACAAGGTTGAGTAGTTGTGATAAGAACAGTCATCTTTGTCTTATTATTCACTTTAGGGGGGAAAGGATCTAGTTTCTCACCATTAATTATTGTTAGATGTGTGCAGATTTTTTGTAGACATTCTTTATCAGGTTAAAGTTCAGAATTGCCAAAACGAATGCTGAATATGAGGAATGGGAGTTAATGACTTTCACTATCATCTGAAGTGAGGTTTGATGAATGTATCTGGTAAGACCAAGGTTGCTATGGAGGAGTAGTTCCTTATTTGGGCTCCAAGACTCTAGAGGTTGAAAAGGCTATTGTCTTAGGTCATTGACAAGGAGTACAAAGGCTCCACTAATGCCTCTCATTTTAACCTTAAGAGTATGTATATGTTTTCTTTTTCTTTCTGGGTTTCTTGGTGGAGAAGGAAAGAAATACTATAAGTAAAATACAGTCATGTGGACTGGGGGTGTAGTTCAGTGGTAGAGTGCTTGCCTAGCATGTGTGAGGCCCTGGGTTCGATACCCAGCATTGCAAACAAAAAGCCAACTGTTGCCTAATAGTGGCAATATGTTCTGAGAAGTGCATCAAAAGGTGATCTCATCATTGTGTGGACAGCATACAGTGCACTTATTCAAACTAAGATAAATGCCACATCAGGAGGAAGTATAATCTCTGGGACCACCATTATATATGTGGCCCGTTGTGGACAGAAACAGCATTTTGTGCATGACTATAGTCAAACTTCCCCTAATATTCCACTTTTATTTTAATCTCAAGAAAATTGTTATTGGTGACTATGGTGTGACAATAGTTATATACAACAGATTGCTAGATTGAAAATCATATGGTCTCTATTTTCATTTTAATAATCGATTATGTGTATTTATATGAGATGACGACTTGGCTGAATTTTAGTTCCCATTTCTTCTGGCTATGACTTGAGGATAAAGGAAGAAAGGAAAAGTTAAAGAGGAACAGTATGAAGAGGGGAAAGTGACGAGAAAGGACCTTGAGGAAGAGGGGAAGAAGACATGTGCTATGAATTGAATGCTTATGTACCTTCCAAATTCATATGTTGAAATCATAACCCTTTAGAAGATTGTGTTTGGAGCTGGTTATTAGGTCTTGAGGGAAGAGCCCTTGTGATTGGCAGCAATGTCTTTACAAAAGAGACCAAGCTGGGTGTGGTGCTGCATACCTGTCATCCCAGCATTTGGGAGACTAAGGGAGGAGAATCACAAGTTCAAGGCCACCCTGGGCTACATAGTGAGGCCCTGTCAGAGAGAGAGAGGGAGAGAGAGAAGAAAGAGAGAGGAGGGAGGGAGAGAGAAAGAAGAAGGGAGGGAGAGATAGAGATAGATAGAGAGACTAGAGAGCTAGCCTTTTTCATTATATGTAGACACAGCAAGAAGTCACCATCTGTGAGTCAGAAGGTAGGGTCTCACTAGACATGGAATCTGTCCTGATTCTGGACTTTGCAGTCTTTAGAACTTTGAGAAATACATTTTTGTTATTTGTAAGCTACTGAGTTTATGGTATTTTGTTATGGCAGCTCAAATGGACTAAGGCAACATGGTAGGAACCAGAAATAAAGACAGAGTGATGTTGATGACTATCAAATACATCCATAAAAAGCAAGTCAAGGCTAAGGCCTTATTTGGCCAGTAAAGATGTAATAAGCCACTCTTAAATTCAGACAGTTTATTATTCACATACAAAGGAAAAGCCAAAAGCTAGGAAAAGTTTTCTGGGTCCTTGTCTAACATCCCCCAAAAGACAACATTGAATCAAAAGGGACAATATGACTGCAGCAGTGTTGTGGAATATCCCGATGAAGGGTAAACATTTCCAGATTGTAGCTAATTCTCATTATATCATGTACTATATGCTAAAGTTATAGGGCAGAAAGATTCATGCTCTATGAGAACCAGGGAGGCAATAAGGAGCTATCTTATTACAGCCTCCCAGGGGATATAGGGAGGAGAGAGAGAGATGGCCTTGAGGCAGGTCCTAACAATTTCAGAGAACCAAAAAGTATTTTTTCAAGTCTCAGATTAGCTGTGGCTTAAGCCTTTGCTCACATGGTCCATGTAGCTATGCGCAAGACCTCTAGAATGTCATGATGGAATGGATCCCCTACACTAACATGGCAGAGAGAGATAATATAGCCAGAAATGGGCATGATGGAGTTAGGGACTCTATAGAAATGAACGCAGTAAAAACAGGATGGAGAGGGGAGGAAATATTAATAAGAATTGACAGATATGATAGTGTTTGAATTTAAGATATTTTAAGGAAATACCTACTTCTCTCTTTCTCTCTCTCCCTCCCTCCCTCTCCCTCTGTCCCTGTCTCATACCACATAGTCACACTGACCCACTGACCCACTTGGGGAACTCAGCACTTTTACAAATTATGACCAAACTGTTTTAAATTTAGAAATACATTAAGTACTTCTCCTCAGCTCTCCCTGGACTCTTCATCCTTCCCCAGAAACCTCCAGAATGCCCTCTTTACCTCCTTGTTCCTCAGGGCATATATGAGAGGGTTAAGAGTAGGCGTGCCCACTGCATAGAAGAGACCAAAGAACTTGCCTCTGTCTTGGGCATAGGGATTTTTGGGCTGGAGGTAGACAGCAATGACTGAGCTGTAGAAGAGAGTGACAACCATGAGATGGGAGGAGCAGGTCCCAAAAGCCTTTTTCCATGCTACAGCCGAGTTAATCCTTAGCACTGCTCTGGCAATGGCACTGTAAGACACAAGGATGAGGCTGAGAGGCACAACCACGAAGATGACACTGGACACAGCCAACTGTATCTCATTAAACGTGGTGTCCCCACATGACAGTCGAATTAGAGAAGGAACTTCACATAAAAAGTCATCTATCTTCCGGTGGGGACAGAAGGGCAGGTGGAGGGTGGGTGGTGTCTGGACTATGGATTGGACCAGACCCATAACCCAGGCCACAGCTGCCAGTTGCCGGCACAGACAAGGGTGGATGATGGAGACATAGTGGAGAGGTTGGCAGACAGCCACATAGCGGTCAAAGGCCATCACTGTCAGGAGGATGCACTCAGTGGTCCCCAGAGACAGGAAAATAAAGAGTTGGACAGAACAGCCTAGGAAGCTGATAGTCTTCACAGGGCCCCAGAGGTTGACAAGCATCTGAGGGACACAACTTGTAGTGAAGCAGAGGTCCAAGAAGGAGAGGTTGCAGAGGAAAAAGTACATTGGATTATGGAGCCTGGGGTCCAGCATAGATAGCAGGATAATGAGTGTGTTGCCCATCAAGGTCAGGAGGTAGGAAGTTAAGACAACCACAAAAAGAGTTTTTTCCAGTTGTGGGTATTCTGAGAAGCCCAGAAGGAGGAAGCCCACTGGGGAACTTTGGTTAACCATGGCCTGTTCCTGTCCTCTCAGACCACTATGTTTCAATGTGTTGTATAAAAGTTCACCATAGGTGCTTGTCAGATGATGCCAAGTGGACGTTTCACCTCTGCCTCTGCTCTCCCAGGCACAACACCCTCCAGCAGCAGCTGGAGGAAATCAAGGGTGGATAGATGGAGCCTCACACTAGTGCCTCTTGACTTCTTGGTTGAGGGCAAAGAAAGCTGGTGTAAAATAATAGGCTAATTTACTACTCTTCATTACTTCAAAAATAACTTATTAAGCATCTATTTTGTTCAAACTACTGTGATACTTCTGAAAATTCTACTATCTTTCTAGGAACAATTAGCAAAGAGATCCTTTTGATAGAATTTCTCCACTCAACATACCTATGCAGGGTTATTTTCTGTTCTGGGGCATAAATTTCCTAGCATCTTTCACATTTATCTATTTTATCCTTATTTGTAGGGAGTCTACCAGAGATGCAGTATATATATTAAGAAATAGATTTCTTCTCTGTGTAAAGTGGCCTCATTCACAGGGAGGTCAATTAGGTGATTTTTGTCTCTTCCTCTTAAAAATATGTTAAATTAAATATAAGGGCTTTGTGTATAAAGGAAAAGCCCTAATCAGAACTTAACATTATGTGCAATGTGGCAAAATAAGGTGAAAATGCTGCCCATTGTCTTGTTTTGGGGCTTAGAGATTACAAAACTACAGTATTTTTATCTTTTCCTTTTCAGATAAGATTACATCAATAGTAAAATAAATTGAGTTGATATTTAAATGTTTAAGTAGAAATTAGATTTGTTTAATACTGCCTTAATTATATCCACTAATTGAGATTTAAAATTTTTTGGTGGGTCTGGGATTTGAACTCAGGGCTTTGCACTTGTAGAGTAAGTACCCTACTGCTTGAGCCACATCTTCAGTCTACTTTGCTCAGGTTATATTTTGGAGATGGGCTCTCATGAACTTATTTGCCCAGGCTGGCCTTGAACTGCAGTTCTCTTGATCTCAGCCTCGCGAGTATCTAGGATTACAGGTGTGAGCTGCCGGTGCCTGGTGAGATTTAATTTTTTTTTTATATAAAAGGTCAACCTACAGAGTTGGTGGAGTGATTTATGTGGTAGAGCATCTACCCAGCAATTGTGAAGCCCTGATTTCAAACCCCAGCACTTCCCCCCCTCTAAGTCAACCTACAGGAAATTTCTAAGAATAGTCTAAAGAATTCCTGCATACCTTTTATTTATATTAATCAATTATTGATATTTTATACTTTTTATAATTCCATTTTTTTCTTTGTATATGCAATTACATTTATTCTGAGCTATTGGAGAGTGAGTGACATGTAATTCCTCTTTATTACTTCACATCTCTATGAAAATGGAAATTATTATATATAAAAGAAAAGGGAATCCAACATTGATTAAAATACTATTATTTACTTTGTAAACCATACTCATAATTTTGCCAATAATGTCCTTTATAGAAAAATTTCTCATGGAAGATCCAGTCCAGATTATAAATGTTTGACCTTGGTCTTTTTGGTAGTCTTTCCTCAGTCACTGAAACAACCAGTCTTAACATTCAGGCCCCACAGGGAGAAGCCAAGAGGCTGCAGGAGTGTGGCCTTGAACGTTCAGTAAATGCTGGGGAACACATGGAAACTGTTGAGACCCCCAAGAATTGAAAGCAAATGAATTACAGATGTGTGGATGAGAGAAGGAAGTCTGTATAGTCAAGAGGAATCTGGGATGGGGAGTCCAGGAAAGCCTCTGCAGGAGGTGACATGGGTTTTTGCTGTTGGGATACAGATGGTGATCTTAAAGATGGGGTGGACTGGGTAGCCACGTTGACAATGAAGAGGCAGGAACTGTGGGGTCTTCTGAGAACAGACATCTTAAGAAGGCCATTTAGGGGATAAGGTGCAAGCAGGTTGGTGGCCCTGTTGACAGAAAGTGCTGTGGGAGTTTATGGGAAGCAGTATCATCTCCCCATCATAGGGCCTCTGAATTGTGTTAAGAACTACTTGCCATCTCCCTTTTTGTCCAGACTTCTTTTTTGTCTTCTGTTTCCCTTCCTTCATCATTACTTTTCCCTGGGGAAAAGTATTGAGGATAATATTTTTTCCCTTTTAAAAAATCAATTATCCAAACAAAAGAATATATTAAAAATCTGGATTTTTTAGAATAATACAATAAACACCTGTTGTTCTTGCAACTCCATACCTCATTTAAGAACAGAACAAATGCTACCAGTGTCTTAGACTCCTTCTGTGTACCCTACCTGGCATAATCTTCTGTCCCTCTGAAAAATAAGTGCTCTGTATTAATTTTAGTTCTTCCTTCCTTTCTACACTTCACGGTACCATGTTTTCTCTATCTCAGCAATTGTCCATCATGTTTTATTCATCTGTGAACTGTAGCATTTCCCACATTCTTATTCTCTTGGCAACTTGTCTCACTTTTATGTTTTTTTTCTGAATCTCTTCAGTATGTATCTTCTTTTTGACTATTTCTCTGGTTTTCTGTCTTTAATAATATTGTCTCTTTCTCTGATACCACAAAAGACAAGCACCACTCTTCCTTATTACGTATGAATTCGACACACATATGCATTCATTTATTCCTTTATTGGCCATCAAAGGACCAGTCATGTACTAGGTGCAGCAAGGCTATGAGGTATAATTTTTTTGTACAACATACCTTTTGTTATAACCTATTAATGATAATCACCTATTGTTTTCAACGGTTATCTGTTGAATGCTCCTTATATCCCAGCCACTGTGCTAAATAATTCCTGAAATATGTGGTTCTCACAACAACCCTGCAGGTTAGTTATCATCCCTTCTTTACAAAAAGAAGAAAATAGTCTCAGAGACAGTAAGTAACTTGCTGAAAGTTACCCAGCCAATAAGTGCCAGGGCCAGGATTTTAGATTCTGTTTGATTCTAAACACTGCTGGGGACATGCCCCAATGGTGGGTTGTAGAAGAATAAACTTTCAACTTACTTGCAATAAAGTCAGAATCTCCTCATCACCTTGTTGTCAGAGCCTCCCATGACAAGGAGCTTCTGGTTTGGTTGGAGCCTCCTCTTGATTCTCCCAGTGAAAACTAAAGGCAAATTAATGAGAAATATCACACCCTTGAAATTGACTACAGCTTAGAATTCAGGTAAGAGTAATGATCACAAGTACTTATTTCCCTGGGCACTTTGTTTATTTTTCCTCAACAACTTCAAGAGGTGGGTATTACTATTATCTTCTATTTCAGATAAAGAAATGAAGGCACGTGGAGGAGAAATTGTTCTGGAAAGTGTAGTTAGTAAGCACCAAGGTTAGGATGTGAAACCAGGTGGGCAGGTGAAGAAGCAAGCACTAATCACATTTCCTATCGTTCTGCCCCTTGTCATCTAGAGAAAGCTCTTCACTATGAAGTTCTTGTTAATGACTTCTTTTCCTCACCCAGGTGAGTTAACTTCTCTTTTTTGTGGTACTGGAGGTAGAAAGGGAGGTATGGTGAGGTGATGAAGGGAGGGAGGAATCCCAGGACTCCCGTTCTACAGGGAGAAATGGCTCATCACTGCTGCCAAGACTGGGGCCCACAGCCCACAGACAATTAGCCACTGCCTCTAATGGTGGTTAAGAAGGAATGGGAGGCTTCAGAGGAAACGTGCCAGAAGATGCTCCCAGAGGTAAGTCAGAAGGTCGCTCTCTGCTGCTCTGTGACATCAGGGAGTATAAGGGCATTATTGTCTTCTCATCCCATCTCCTGCATGTCCCATATTTTCAGTTTTTCCCCTCAAACCTCTTAATGTGCTTCTTCAGAAGCCCCTACTTTGGTTTATTTCCTTTTTTCTCTTACATAATATAGGTATAATTTATATAATTAATGAACATATTTACTGAGATTTGACAAATGTATACATCTAGGTAATCACCACTTAGTGAAGATGTAGATCATTTTATTACTCCAGAAAGTTCTTCATGCTAATTTACAATAATTCTCCTTATCTGTGCTCTAGGCAAGCACTGATTTGCTTTCTATCGTTTTAGGTTGTTTTGCTCTTCTAAAACTTTACATAAAGATTCATTGAGTACATGTATTCCCTTCTGTTTGATTTCTTATACTCTGCACATTTTAAGATTCATCCATGTTGTTTTGTGTATCAATAGTATGGTCCCCTTTTAATTACTGAGGATTATTGTTATTTAAATATATCACAATTTGTTCAGCCATTCACTTCTTTATGGATACATGTGTCTGTTGTTTTAAAATATGCCTCCCAAATTTCTGACATTCTTTCCGTCAGAATGTACAGCTTATTTTCTTTCCATCTTGAGTGTGAGTTGTATCTAGTGACTTAATTTTAACAAAGAGAACCTGTCAGAAATGGTCATGTGTGATGCAAGACTTGGTCATAAGTAGCATTGTGACATCTACCTTGTCTATTCTCTTGGGTTTTCAGTCAGGGGAACCATCCAAGCAGTGGATACAGAAGAACATTTAAGGAGGAACTAAGGCTTTCTACTGAATGGGACAGCTTGTAAGCTGACCCTTGAGCCTCATCCAAATCTTCTGAGGATGACATTTGACTGACATCCTGACTACAACATCAAGAGAGACCTTGACCAGAATCACCTGCTCACTGTTCAACTGCTTTTGAGTTTCAGACCCACAGAAGCTGATGATTGTCTCCCTAGAGGCCCACAGAAATTGTGAGATAATAAAGGTATTGTTTGAAGTCACTAAGTTTTGGGGGTAATTTGTTATGCAGCAATAGATAACTAATGTGGGGTGATTTCCAGTTTTTACTGTTATGAAAAATCTGCTATGAACTTTCACATTCAAGTCTTTTGTGGACACATATTTTCATTTTGGTAAATACCTGTGAGTGGAATTCTGGGTCATGTGGTAGCCATACTGCTGAGTGTGAAGTGATATCTCACTTTTAATTTTAAAAATTTATTGTATTTAAGGTATATACACATATAATTAAGTGATTATTG